TCGCGGGCCGCCCAGAAACCAGCTTCTCATCTGCCGCTCTCCTGCGTGTCCGAGGTTGTTTGGGCGAATCTTCGGGGCAGCTTCTCATCCTTCTGAGCCCAATTTGACGCCTACCAACGCTCGCGCGCCCAAATCCGCAACCTGAGCACGCAGGAGCATCAAGATAGCAAGCGTGATTTCAAGTTACCGGCGCCCGCACTCAAGCACGGTTTCGTGCTCACCGGCGACGGCGCGCCTGGAATAGCATACTGAAGCGGCCCTGAGCAGCCCAGCGCCCGCGCGCCCACATCCGCAATCCAAGCGTGGCCCGTGCTCCGGAACGCAGCCTGGGCTCGAACTCGGGCCCTCTGCTCTGGCGCCCACGCGCACAGAGTTGCAATGGCCGTGCAGAGGCGGCTTACCTACCGGCGCGCAAACCTGCAGCCATGCACTCTCTGCGCAGAGGGCCAGAAAATCTATTTGCCCGCTTTCTGGTGGAGTGGGCGCGCCTGCAGTGGGCCAGGAATCTGGACGCTGCCGGCGCGACAGGCGAGTGAGAGCCCCGAGAGAAGCGCCCCGCCACGCGCCGGCCCCACACTCCCCAGAAGCCACACCAAGCCATAAGGGCGGGCGGGCGGGCAACGACGAAGGCGATGACAAACAACACCACGGGCGCTGCGAACAGCACCTGGCCCACTATGTGGACCACTGGAGGCTTGCAAAGACCCCGCGGTGGAGCGAGTGCACCCCGCAGGGCGCTTGCTCCGCGGCGGCCGTGGCGCCGGGAACTTGCTATCCCGCCCCCGAGCCGGGCGGTGCCCCGATCGGCCTCCGGAGTTGTCGAAGACCACCGCTGCTCCGAGTTGGAGCCAACCAGGCCTTGGAAGAAATCCGCTGCTCCGTCGGGGGCCCAAGCCGTGACTGCCCACGAGTTTACGTACACGGTTAAAGCCATCAACTGATGAATCCACCAACCGGTTTACATCAGGCGGGGCTTTAGATTTTCCTCCCCATCGAAACCTTTGGTTTAGGGGGTATGAAAATCTATTTGCCCGCCTTCTGGTGGAGTGGGCGCGCCTGCAGTGGGCCAGGAATCTGGACGCTGCCGGCGCGACAGGCGAGTGAGAGCCCCGAGAGAAGCGCCCCAATGGTGAGGGCTCGACTCGCCCTGTCCATAACACTCCCAATGTAGGCGACTCGGGCCCGGATCCCCGCGTGAGTTCTGGAGCATCGCTCCGTTTTTAAATCCCGGACCTCCTGGACTTGGGACAAGCAGGGCTCGCTCGGAATAGCGCCAGCCAGATAGTATATTGCTGTCGTTTTTCAACTCTCTACGCCTGATCCATCGTCTGACGAATCGGAAAACTCTGCTGCCCACTTAGCAGCCAGAACTTCCCCCTTCGTCTGCGCCGCGGCGTAGCCGAACGCAGCTAAGCCACGCCAGCCGCCTGAATAAAACAAGGCTGGCACTCCCCCATGGCGCAGGGCGTCATTGGCCCAACCGCGGCGGAAGCAGCGGGTGCCCCATTCTGCTCCTCTCGGGAAACCAAGTGCTAGAGCTGCAGTTTTCAATGCTGCTAAAGCCCTGTCGTACTGGAGGATTGGAAATACTGCTCCCTGGCCGCAACGTCGACGCAAGACGCAGACCCCGCACAAGTCTGGCGATGCGGACTTGCAAATGCACTGCCGCGCCACATGCACAGATTTGTCTTGCATTTTCCTTCTGTGCAAAACGACGGTAACCTCAGACACATTGTCACGGACGTGGCACCGCACTTCGGAATGCGACGGGTCGGCACCTAGTTTAAGTACTACAGCCATACCTCAATGTGAAATGTCTGGCTGGGCGCCTTTGACTAGCATACTCGTGTCAGCCAGCGACCCCAAAGGCGCCTGTATCAGCCTGAGCGTGGACCGCAAATGAGAACAGTACCGGGACAGCGTGGACGCCCGTGGGACTGCAAATACAAGCGCTGCGAGCACCACCTGATCAGGCGGCCACTCTGGTACGCCAGTTGCCGCTGCCAGCCTGCCCCACAATCGCACAGCTGATGCGTAGCCTTGTCCACTCTGTCGCCAGTTTTCCATTTCCTGGAGCAGCAAGCGGCCGCGGAGCACATCATCACGACGCTCCGCCGGAATTTGCGCCAGCCACCGCGCTCTCGCCGATGGCAGAGATGAGGCCGCGGCGCCGTCATGCAGTCCCGGAGCTGGCGCTCTGCAAATGACAGAAATTGATTGCGCCAGGACATCAGCGGGAAGCGCACATCTCTGAGCTCTGGCTTGCACCAAAACTTCCACTGCTGCAGAAAGGTCGTCGGCCGCCGCCCTGGCAGCCGGCCTCCCGGGAGGCAGTTCTTGCTCACAAAAGCGTTCTGGCGTGTGTCTTTTCAACTTAGGCACGACGGCGCTTGAGCCGCGCGCGCCCGTCTGCCACGACACGGAACGCAGGAAGTCATCGGACAGCGTTCTGAGAGGTGGCCACACTTCTCGCAACTCTGCTGCTGAAAGGCCTTGGAGGTCGCCGCCATGAACAGCGCCAGAATCGGCCAGCGCTTCCAAGACTGCGTCAGGCGATGCCGGATGGCGCGAAGCTGGCGTCTGGGCCAGCACACTCTGGAACCATGCCTTCAGCTCTGTTGGCACGCACAGGAGTCTGCTGCGGCACCTGCGCGCCCCGGGCGGCCTCCAGATGGCGCCGCCGGGAAGCATCGATAAACTGGAAGGCTATCAAGAAACGCTTGTGCCCAACCGGCTACGGAACGAGGGCGCAGGCTGCGACAGGCAGGTGGCCGCGAAGCCAGAAGAGAAGGCCACGACGGTCAACTGTTGCGTGCAACTTTTTCCCTCCTGCGCTCGCGTCTGTCCTCACCAGAGCTCGTCCCAAACGCTTGCTTCCGGCCAGCGCCAGTGCACCTCCTCGAACCCTTGCTCGAGCAGAGTGCGCAGTTTGTCTGCCTCTTCATGGGCTCTGGACGGGGCGTCTGCAAGGTTCTGAGCAGACGGCGCACGGAAGGGGCACAAGACGTCGCCCCTGTCTGCTGCCGCGAAGCAAATGGACGTCACTAAAGCATTCCAATCGATCTGCCTGGACGTCCCTTTGAGCAATGCTCCGAGCGCTGGGTTGGAATCCACGAATAACAAAATCTCCAACCCTGGCTCCAGAAAGGTGTACGCGTGCCAAAGACCACACACCGCAGCAATGAGCTCCCACGTGCCGATTTGCTGCCGGCGCGGCTTCGCTCTGTCGCGAAGCCATCGCGGGATCCACGCTCGGGCGAACTGCTTTTGGTTGCCCTGCGCGAGAACCCACGCGAGTGCTCCGCACCCCGCTGCGTCGGTATAAATGGCCAACCGGGGCCGCGCAGCTGGCAGGTAGGGTATCTCGCGGCGAGGGTTGGATTGCAAAAAGCGAAGCCACCAGTGGAGAGCCCGGCGCAGGCGCAGAGAGAGTTTGGAGAGACGACGGGCCGAGTGGAAGAACAGAGCTGCAAGATGCACTCTTGCGCTCCTGCCAAACACCATCGTTGCTCCCCAACTCAGTTTCCCTGCTAGCTTCCGGGCCAGCGCCGGCGACAGCATGCCCAATTCGAGAATCTTATCGATCTCAGCAATCCACTTCACGCGCTTTGCCTCGGGAATGCTAAAGACGCCCGGGCATCATCCAGGGCAACCTGGATGCCGAGAATTACGGCTACAGAAGCGTCGGTGACAGCTTTCGCGTCGTCCAGCTGCCAACCCAATTCTTGCACGACTTCGCGCGCAAGAAATGCAGCACCACTCGGTCCTGTGAGGGCAGTATCTCCCGGCGTCGCGCGGTCGACGCCGAAGAAGTCATCGACAAAACGCGGGTATAAAATGCGGAACAGCTCTACAAGCACGCGTTGGAGCGCAGCACCGACGCGGTGCCATGCATGCACGCTTGCAACAGCCCCAAACGGGCAAGAAAAGAGCTGCAACGCGAAGCCTGTTCGCGCCGTGTCCTCTGTAACGGCCACAGCGCAAGGCAGGTCATCCGCGCAAATCGGCAAAGTCTTGTATGCGCCTACAACGTCATCCTTGCGAAGACGAAGTGTTGCTGGGCCTCTATCTGGCCCACTTGCTTCCCAGATGCCTTGGCCAATTGCTACTAGTGCGTCGAGGTGCTCGTGATGCACCCGCTCCTCGACTTGCGTGGCTTCGTTCGCCTTGGAAGCGTGAAAATCATCAATGGCGCGGACAGCGCGCACAAAAGATGAACCTTCAAACTTCCACCCCTCGTCCACTCCGAAACGTGGAGAACACACCGCCTCGCTAAGTGTCGCCGACAACGGCGTCCATCTAGCTTTACCTGCCACCACCTCGGCTGCCGTCTGCGCCCGCAGTGCTGCTGCCGCTTCTTCATCCGACAGGGTAGAAGAAGCCGCTCTCAAAATCAGCGCTGCGTTGTTCGCAGGGGCGCGTCGCCAGAGTTCCTCTAACGACAAGGGCGGAACAGGTGAGCATGCGGGGAGCGTGCCGCTCGGGGGGATCTCCCCAACGAGCTTGAAACCACGCCTTAAATTTTTAACTAATTGAGCGTCTGGGCTATTCGATGCCTCCAGCATCTCTGCCAGCAAAAGCAAGTTTTTGTCCGGACCTAGAACGGCTTGCACGTGTGCTGGGAGTGTTCTGAACTCCCGCTGCCATTCAAAATCTGTCACTCGCTTGCGTTCGCGCCAGAAAGCTAAGGCAGACGCCCGGAAGCTGTGTAAAGAGCTCCTGTCCCCACTTTCATGAAGAACTGAGCTGTGCGCGCTGGCAGGTACACGGAAGACGCCTAAGCAAGGAGGCAGGGCAAACGCCCACTTTAAATGGCTTACAGGCGACATGTTAGCAAGTCTATGTACATCTTGCAACAAGCTGTTCACTTCAGCTTGTAATTCATGCAGATCCGTGGCAAAACCGACGGACCCGTCGAGACTATCTTCGCTAGTCTCTTGCGCGAGGGGAGGAGCCGCTGGATGATCCCCAGACGCATCGCTGGCGCTTTGCGAACCAGCTCACCACTTCTTGTCGCCCTTCTTGGTGTTGTCCCACTTCTTGGCATACCAGTCACCGTTCCTCTTGGGGCTGCGCGAACGCACAGGAGAGTGGACCTGGCGCCCCTTGGGGTGCTGGGCGGGCAGCTTGCCTCCCTTGGAGGGTCCCTTGCCGCCTCCCTTGCTGGAAGCGGGTGCCGGCCGCGACGGCTGGGAGCCAGAGGCCTGGCCCGTCTTCGTGGCCGCCTTCGCGGTCTCTTTCACGCGCTTTTCAGCGCTGTTCTTCGCGTCCGCCAGCACGTCGCGGTCCAGAGTGCACAGGAGCGTCTCTATCTGCGACCGCTCGTCCCTTTCAAGCTCCCGGGCGAGCTTCTGTCTGAGCAAGAGATCGTAGTGTGTGCACACCCTGAAGCCGCCGTATTCTTCTGCCACCCGGGTGAGTACGATCTGGTACGCGAGCAACTGCGTGGAGGTGATGGCCTTCGTGAAGACCATCTTCACGCCCCAGTCCAGGATATGTCCATAGAACGTAGCGAATCCCACAAAAGTGGTTCTGTCCTCCAAGCTCCTCGTTTTCTTCGCCTCTACCGCGCTGCGCAGCTTCTCCTCGAAGCTGCCGTCGCCGACGGTCACGTCGATCTTGGGTGTCCGCGACCACGGCGGGCGAAAGGAGACTTGGAGGTCCTCTCCCTCTGCCGACCCAATATAAAGGCGGCCCTGGTCCCGTGCGACCTTGCTGGCTTTCTCCAACCGAATCATAGCCTCCTCCGAGGGCATCATATTTTTTGGGAGATTCCCGAGACCGAGCTCGTCCAGGCGCTGTTTCAAGTTGAAAGACAAGTATTCCTTCTTGGGCTGGTCTCGCTCTTGCGTTGCCTTTGCAAGCGCCTCGATCGCCTTCGCCAGATGCTCTGGCGAGGTCCCGGTGCCACGCTCAACGCTGCCAGCCGGGCCGTTGCTCTGAGACCCTGCTGCCCGAGCTTGCACTTTAAGAGCAGCCGTGATGTGCGCAGGGGTGAGCCGCACATCTTTCCACTCCGATCCCTCATGGGTCGTCTTGGAACGGCGTGGTGTTTGCGCGGATACCTTCGATGATGAAAGTGCGCATCTGTGGGTCCGCGAAGTCCGACGGCGCTGCTGAGCCCATCTGTTCGGACATCACTCGGGCGACGCTGGCATAAAACACCTCGTCGTGGCTGATTGGCTCGTTTGCGTCCGCAACGAAGTGGAGCCACTCTTCGATGGCACTGCTCGACAACTTCAGCCACTTGCCTTCTGGAACCTTAGCGATCAAAGACTGCACCTTTCCTGACTCAAGAGGCATGATGCGGTGTCGCCGAATGCTACAGCAGGTGGTGGGTGAGAGCGTGGACGCAAAGGGCAACCAATCACTCTGAGCCCAGACGACTCCGGAAGAGCCAATGCATGAACGCCTGGAGCCATTGCAACGCGACTGACACGGCCATTCTTTCTGTGGGACATGGGCGCACCACCGCTTCAGCCTCCTGAGCACCCCCCACCTGCGTCCAGCAGCCAGTTTTCATGATTCATAAACTCGTTTATGCTGCAGGAAAACCGTGAGGAGCAGCCCCACGTGTGTTCGCCTCCACTCCTCAATTCCTGCACGCTCATTGCCTGCGCAGCGGGCTGCGGTGTCGGCGGCCGGCGGTTTCTGCGCGAAGCGGCGGAAGTATGCTCACCTTGCTCTGTTCGTGTGTATTCTGGTGCGGTCTCGCATGGCGGTTCGCCCGCGCTGCTCGGGTCTCGTCTGCTGGGCCGATCGTGTCTCGCAGTTCTTCTGTTGCTGCTCCCGCGCGCTGGCTCCTTGAAGCCAGATCGAGAATGGTTCTGATAAGTGCAGCGGCGAAAATCTCGCTGACAGGGGCTGCACAAACAAAACAGGCTCCCTGATAGGAGCGGCGCCTCCGAAGCTCCCTGAAAGGAGCTGCGCCTGCGTGCTCCCTGATAGGAGCCAGCGGTGCCTAGCGCTCCCTGAAAGGAGCTGCGCCTGCGTTCTCCCCGACAGGAGCGGCGCCCTAAAGCTCCCTTTCGCGCGTTCCCTGACAGGAGCAGCGGCCGAAGACTCCTTGACGGGAGCGGCGCCTCAAAGCTCCCTGATAGGAGCGGCGCTTCAAAGCTCCCTGACAGGAGCGGCCCCCCAGAACAAAAGTTCGCCGAAGGGGGCGGCGCCCAATGCTCCCTGAAAGGAGCTGCGCCTGTGCGCTCCTCGACAGGAGCGCTGCCCACCAGAGCTCTTGCCTGTGCTCCCTGACAGGAGCAGCGCCCCCAGGCTCCCTGAGAGGAGCAGCGCCCCCAGGCTCCCTGAGAGGAGTTGGCCGGAGCCAAGATCGCCAACGACAAGGGCCGGGCTTGGGTCGGCTCTGCAGAAGGCGAAGATCTCCGCGATCATCACCGCCCAGCATGGAGTCGCACCCCTCTCGTCGACGCGGTCGTGGGCGACGGCTCCTACGAGGATCGCGTGAGACAGAGTGCGGCCGCCAAGCGCGGAAGCGCTTGGATCGATAAGATCGATTACGTGAGCTTCGCGACCTTCATGGGGCATCTCCACGAGTTGGGTTTCAAGGTGATCCTCACGAAGGCGTGCAGCATGGCGGACTTTGTCTCCTACGTGCATATTATGATCCGCATCGCTGAGGAGAACGGCGAGGTCAGGACGGCGTTTCAATGCGACGTCCTCCAGCGGAGGGCCATGGCCAAAGCGCTGGAGAGGGACGAAACCGATTTGAGCAGGTACCTTACAAGGATCGATGTTGATCTCCTGCGCACGGCCAAAGACAAGGTGGATAAGCGCTTCGCGGAGCTAGCTCGTGCATCTAGCGCGCCCAAGGGTCAGTCCAAGGGCCAGCCCAAGGGCGCCTCCAAGAGCTACGGCGACGGGGGAAGTCATGCCTCCAGCAGCGCATCTTCCGGCGGCAAGGGCGGCAAGAGCGCTATGGGCGACAACCGGCGCGTGCGTTCGCCGCCCGCGCGGCACAAGGGCAGCGCTGGTGGCGGCCAGCAGCGCCGGTCGCGCAGCCCGCGCGCTGGATGGCAGCAGTCCGGCCAGTGGGACAAGCAGTCCTGGAGCAAGTGAGCGGTCACGCCGCTCGCTGACAGTGCCGACGGTCAGCAGTCGGAGAGCGAGTCAGGGGACGATGAGCCCATGGAGCGCTCTTCGGCTCGTCCCAGCGCTGTTTTTAAGCGTTCTAATAAAGCTGTCACATGTCACATGTCTTTCTCGCTCGCGATGATTTGCATCGCCTAGATCCATGGGATCACTTGTTTGCGCAGAAGTTCCTCTTTTGCCGCACTTTTTGGAAAAAGGCTGCGACCGCGTGACAAGTATGACCCCTGCGGAATTGCACTCGTCTCGTAAATCAGCGCTTGCTTACTGGACGGAGAGGAAGCGAGTGACGGAACCCCGCTGGCAACGCGCGTTCGCGCAGCTGCCAGCGCACTGCCAAGGTGTCTTAGGGCCCCGGAAAAATCTTTTTCTCCTTAGCGAGATGCTTGAGTCCATCAGCTGGCCAGACGCCACGCTGATTAGCAATTTAATGCACGGTTTTCCTCTTGTCGGCTTGCTCCCAGCGAGTGGGATGCGCGTTCCGACAGGGAACGCAGCGCCGGAGGTAACCAAAGCTGCTCTATTGGCCACTGCGAGCGTTCAGAACAGACGCATTTTGCGGCGATCGTCTTTGCCACTCGGGATGGGCAGATCTGTCTGCGAAGTTTTTGCTTCTGCATGCGACCGGGAGGTCGCGGACGGCAAGGCTAGAATGCGTCCATTGAACATGGAAACTTGTGTTTTAACCCCGAGATTCCCAATCGTGCAAGGTTGGAAGACCGTAGGCTGGGAAACGTTTCCCAAAGTTAGATGCATCGATGATTTTACTGCGTCGCGCATCAATGAGGGCACGCAAGTATCCGAGAAGATGCTTCCCGACACGCTAGACTCACTTGTAGCGCTGGTGTTGAAGATCACAAAATCAAGAACAATGCGCATTCGTTGGCGCAAAGATGATTTTGTGCAAGCCTTCAAGACACTACCAATATGCAGCTCTCACCTTCCATTGGCAGTTGTCGTGTGGCAGGAGGCGTTGGCTAAAGACCAGTGTCTCCAGCTCCTGGCAATGCCCTTTGGCTCTTCCGCCTCCGTGTCCGCCTGGGAGCGGTTCGGTTTGGCAATTCAGGGCGTGCTTGCGCAGATTTTCCTAGTGCTGTACCTTCGCTTCGTCGACGATTTGTTTTCGGGCGACGCGATGGCAGAGCAAATAGATGTTGGCGGAGACCCTCTGACGGGCCCTGCTGGCACGGCCAAGCTGGCCAGGTACGTAATTTCAGATCTTCTCGGCTGGGATTTGGATGCCGCCAAGGCTGTCACAGAACAGCCATCGGCCACCATTCTCGGCGTCGGCGTCTGTTTTGATGACGCCCGGCAAGAGGTAGTTTTTGACGTGGGTCCGGAGAAGCTCGAGTTGTGGAGCTCCCAGATCGTCAGGGCCCTCAAAGCGGGCGCGTTGCCGCCGGCAGAAGCGCAGAAGCTGGCCTTGCGTTTGAGTTGGGGTGCCAGTTCAGTTTTTGGCAAGGGGGCGCGCGCTCCGCTGGCAGCTTTGTTCTTTCATGGCGCAGGCCGCACCAGCCGTCTCACTGCGAGGACGAGGCTCGCGCTCATATGGCGGCATAAGTTTTTGCAATCGCCACCCTCACGGCGTGTGCCGCTGCAACTCCGCGAGCGCCAGCGGTGCATTTTGTACAGCGACGCAACCGGCACTGGCATGATGGCGTGGGTGCTGCACGCTCCTTTCGCCAAAGTCTGGGCCGCCACTAGTGTGCCCGACAGCGCTCGCCAATGGGCACACTGGCGAAAGAACCAGATCGGCACCTGGGAGCTGATGGCAGCGATCTGCGCATTGAAATGGATTTTAAGCATTGGCCAAGCAGATCTCGAGATCATCTGCTTCGTCGATAACAAAAGCGCATTGGGTGCGCTTGTGCGAGGTTGCTCGCGGAAGTCCGATTGGAATTGTCTGATTGGCAATCTGTGGCTTCTCGTCGCCGACAAGGCGCATTTCCTGCATCTTTGGTATGTGCCTTCGCATTCGAATCTCGCAGATGCCCCCACGCGGCCGTCTGAGAAGGCAGAGCAAATTGCCGAGCTGCAGGCGCGAAATTTTCAACGCGTTGACTGGCTGTTGCCGCCGGATGCACCCTGGGGCGGCTGAAGAAAAAGTGAAACAATAACATGTGCACAGGTTCTGATTGGAGGAGGGATGCCATGCGCCAGTCTTGCCTTCTCCGTAGTATCGGCTCAATGCTTAGTTTTGTAAACGAGAGCCGAAGCAAGCGTCTGCGTGCTGAAGGTGCCCCGCCCGGGCAGGCGAGCGATGTGAACTCGGTTTTCGCTCGCGTGCTGCAGGGCGTGGCTGGCGTGAATATGGTTGATACCTCTGGTCTTTGCGAAGCTCTGGAAAACGGTGGCTTCCAGCATTTGTCTGATTTGGGCGGTTTGGAAGCAAATGAATTGGTAGATCTCGTCCCTGCGTTTTCTGGACAGAACGTTGCGCTCGTCAAAGCCTTCTTGGCGCAGTGTCAGCGCCAGGCCGACCGGGGTTAGCGGCCGCGGCGTGCCGACAGGCGACGCGCACCGAGGCTGCCTCGTCCTCTTCAGGGGCTGGGCCAGAGGCACAAACCCGAGTTGCGAGCCAAAGCGATCCACGTGAGGCAGCCAACGACGAGCAAGGTCGTGCTGGCTTGATCTTGCTTGGTGAATCGCGCCGTGCTCGCGTTGTTCCCGAACCTCCTGTGCTAGCAGCCGCGCTGGCGGCCGCCGCCCGCTGCAATTGCTATCCAGGGGCGGAGCCAATTGGCAGGCCCCGTGAAGAAGTCAAACGTGCACGTCGCGATGTTCCTGGCGGAGATCATCTCCATCTCCACACTCTGTGGGTCGAGTTCGCTGCCTGGAGAAAGAGTGCTCCGTAATGCGCTTCCGACGTCCGCTTGTGGGGCGAAGCTGCCAGGGCCATTTCGGCGCCCAGCTGGCCACCGTCCGAATCTGTTCTCAATGCCTTTGTGGGGTTATTCCGTAATGGGAACAGTCTGCAGAAATATGTTTCTCATGTTCGCAGTGTGGTCTACCTATTGCAGGCCCCTCTCGGTGTTCTCGACGACACAGAAAGGCTGGCCAGAGGTGCCGAGAAAATTACCCGAGACGTATTCAGGAGAGTGAAGATCCGGGCGACGGCGGAAGAAACCAAACTCATCCGCAAGTGGTGCGCTGAAGCTGGATATCCGCTGTTGGCGGCGTCGTGGGTGATCGCTCGCCAA